TAAAAAAAAACCTTAAGAGCCTTCTCATTCTGTAAGCAAATAAAAAACACTTGACAACAGCTGCAAGAAAGGAAAGTGAGCTGGAATATGTTCTCAAAGTTTGTTCACAGTTCAAATAACCTTGCCACTAGCTTTCAAGTATCACGCTGCATTGCACAACACGAGGAACCACTTTCTGCTGGATATTAAGGCAGTAATGCTGCTTGCCAATAGCTTGTTCAAAGACTTTTTGAACAAAACACACAAACAAAAAGTTCTGGTACGTTAACAGCTGCACTGCAAGAGAAACACAATTAACCTGTGAAGGAAAAAAAGGCAAAAGCTGATGAAATTTAGAGTAGAAAATTTTAAATACATTCTTACTGCTTTCAAAGGACAGTAATAACACAAGTGCTAAAAGAAAAAGTTAAAATCCTGAGGAAGGTCAGAAACATTTCAATACAATAGTTTGTAGGGGGCTTTTGTTCATTTTTTAAAAGCTGCAATTCAACAAAAATATAAACAAATGCAGAGGCTCAATATATTCAATTGCTGATTGGCACCACGTTAGCTGAGATCCCATTCTCGTAATCAAAGAGTTTTGAAGAGATCGTATTCTTAGTTTATCTTGCAGTGGCCAAGGAGATGATTCACTTTTTGTTTTTAACTTCCCCTTGCAAACTAAAGAGAGCAGAAAAACTAGAGCAGACACAACATTTGACAAAAGGCCTGCTGCAAAGCTGCATTTCTTTTAAAGGTGAAAAGATAAAATTCCCCCTCATGATGTAATGGCACATCAGAAAATTCAGCTACTGGTCTGGATGCTGATGGACATACCATAAAAATGTACTAAATGTCTCAATTCTATCCAGGATAGTTACTCAAATTCAGACAGATACAAAAAAACCCAACAAGGCATGTGGGCTCGCAGAAGGAAAAATTAAAAAGCTCTACACTCCAGTGTTCAAGGAGCAAGTCCAAGGTAGAACTTATTGCGCTGTACCACAGCATGGTATGGAAAATTAAATGTGTTGACTTCAGTCTTGAGCCAGAAAATAGCGACAAAGAAAACTTTGGGGTTTAACTCCACTTTCCCAGCACTCTCTGAACAAGAAGTTGTGCAAATTGCATTAGTTCATCCAAATGATAATAGAAACAGAAAAAATTTCAAATTCAAGGTAATCCAATAAGTCTATTTGAAGAATATCAAAGTCTTTTATAAGATATTTTTCAGGGAGAAGACAGATACTGGAAGAGGAGAATGTGAACAGGGAGGTAACAGTAAATGAATGGTAAACATTACATTCTGGCTTTTTAAATTTTTTTGCATTTTTTTTGCAGGTCAGGGTAGTCTAACCAATTGAGTGGTGTGCACTGGATGCAGTTTTTAAAACCCACTTTGCAAACTACTTGACTGTAGCTACTGAAGCCTTTAAGCACCCAGCTGCGCATGAGAGGTGTCCGGGCATTCCTAGAACCAGGCCTCTGAGCCAGCCAGAGGTAAGCCAAGACTAACATGCTCGCAGGCAGAGCCGGCTCCTGTCCAGTCAATTCTGAGCAGGGACACACTGGCCTGCAATAACATACATTCAGCTCTAAGTTACTGGACACCTCTAACAGCTTGTATGAACTTCTTAGAAGGAAAGCTAGTTCCTCGCCTTCCAAGCACCTGTTTTTTTTTAAATAAAAAACAAACCCAACACAAAAGCTCCTGAAAATGTGCTTTGGAAAAGTATCCAACACCTGCATCAGTTATACCAAGCTTCTGAATCTTCATAGAAAGAAAATAACCAGGTTGTGGTATTTCTCTTCTGTCCCACGAAATTTCACCCAGGCTTGGCTAAATCACAAACTTCCTCTTGCTAGCTTGTTTCCTTAGGAAACATATTAGTAATATGACAAAAATAGCTCAACAGAAACATTCTGAAAGTCAGATCCTTGTTACTTTTGAAGCAGCAGTAACGCCTGAGTGTCCAAAGCAGCTACCCAGGAGAAAGGGACAGAGGCTAACCCAAATAATAACCTGTTCAATGCATTTTATAACACCCACTGGATGTTGCTCTCGCAAAGATAAAAAAAAACAACAACAAACAAAACAGAACAAAAGCTTAGGCACAAACCCCATAATGCTTAATTTGAAGCCTCATTTAAAATGCCACACATTAAGGCACTGGTGCTCATGGTCAAAACATCAATTATGGGCTGGATTTGATGCCACGAACTCTTCCTACCTGGAACAAATGCATCCAAGTAACAGAAAATTCGGAAGCAACATAAAGGAGATCCTTTGTGCTATGTACCACAACAACATACCAGGTCACTGAAATAGTTGACATTACAAAACTGTTGTATAATAGTATTACTAACATTCATGACACACATACTTTAAGTTGAAAAATTCCAGAAAAAAAACCCAACAAACAGATAAGACCAGGCCAACAAAAACCTGTTTATAAATAAAACATTTTAATAAGTTAAAAAAATATGAATAAAAGTCCAGGACATTTTTTTCCTGCTTATCACACTCCTACATTTCCATTCAAGCAGCTGACACTGATTTTTCCCATTTGTGCATAGTGCCACATAATTCTGCTGGATGGAAGCCTGTCGGATGGAATCCTGTTTTGTATCACAGAACTGAATGGATAAAAGGTCAGGAACACGTTAAGGACATGGCAGCATAATCCCTCTATTAATAACTGACTTTTCAAAACGTCCTTAGAATCTAGACATTTCATGTCTAAAATTTATTAGTGTGATAAGATTACTTAAGGTCAATTTCTTTTCCTTCCCAGCCACAGAAGTTTACTTTTTCTGAAGTTTTGCTCACTTATAAATGTTTGCTTTCTTCACCACCCCATTACAGATGCTATTCTTTAATACAGCAGTAGTCTTGTATGCAGTAAGAAGATGGAAATGCTTTCCCCTGCATCTACTGCTCCCATATGGATACTTTACTAAGCATTACTAGAGCAACTAAAGCTCACAGAGGTGCAGTATATAAGTGCGTTTTTACGTAAGATGAGAAACAAATGGACATTAACCCTGCCAAGATACTGCCAAGCCAAATTTGCTACCAGATTTCCCAACTCTATAACCAGAAAAATCTGTAATGTTCTTTTGAATGCTCCAAACTCATCTCTGATTGCAACAACCTGCTTTAATGCACTATAAATCAATTCTAACATCCGTTTGAAAGACCTGATTAAGGCTTAATGAAATTTTCCTTGTCATTTAGGCTATATGTATTATTAATTAAGAGCAGAGTGAAAACAAGCAAAGTAATTCAGGAATGTTCATGTTGGTGCACCATACACGGAAGATTTACGAAGTTAGATGAGATTCTCTTTATATTCTTAAGTACATGAATCAAAAAGCATTTCAAAGATGTTACTACTCTCTAAAGTTCCCTCAAATATGTTCTGCTGCTTACCCTTCCCCTCACTATGCAAGACCTACAGTTTAGGAGTTCCAGAAGGCCCAAAACACAGATTTTCTGTGCTGCCATTCACATTCCCCTGGTCACCAAAGAAGAGCTACGGCTGGAGTGAAGCAGCTCTGTACAATCCACATTTCCCTCAGGTCTGGAGTGCATTCAACACCCTGTCTGGGCCATTCCAACAAGCACAATCTTACAGCAGCTTCTTCAGAATATCCTCGCCCTGCCAAGACTTTAGTACGTGTATAGAGGACCACGAAGAGGACAAAACACTGTATAACCTACAAATAGATTTCCACAGTGAGCACTGTACCTAACCCATTTGGTCCTTAGCCACTTCAGATTTCAAACTAGGACTTTTCATCTGAAAAGTAAGCACTTCCAGTTCTATTGAAAATAATTTAATCTCAGAAATGAAGAGATTAAAGTAGGCATTGCCAAACTTGATAAAGAAATGTTCAGGTACCCCCAAAAAAGGAAGAGAGGGGTAGGAAGGGGTGGGGGGGAAGAGGAAGAAAATTATTTTACACTTGGAGGTGCAAGCTCCTATTCAGAAAGCAGCTATTCAGGGCTTCAATCCTTAGGGTAACTCCTCATCACCTACCACTGGGTAATTTTTGATCAGTTTTACTCAGACTTCACAGAAAGGGAGCAGATCTTCATTCAGCACTGAATGAACGGAATAGCTACCACATGCTCTACATAAATCAAACAGATTTACCATATCAGCAATAAAGAAAATATGCCATGACTTAATTACCTGTGATCTTGCCACTTTAAATCACTTGAGTTCTAATCATTACACATGGCTGACTTAAACATTAATTACACCAGGTAAAGAGAATTTACAGTACAGAAATAAAAATGAGAAAGCTCTTTTAAAGCTAGGGTGGTAATACTTAGGTCAAGTTCTCACTGATCAATCTTCAAAGTAAGCTGTAACTTCAAATTCAGCTAACATACTTTGTCTTCAACAAAGACAAGAATGTAGTCATTTTGAGGTCATCCTAGTGACACTATTTGGAGAATCAGAATCAGGTTTGCACAATCAATCTCAACTGAGTCTAAAAACTTGTACGTGTGTTTTCTTATCATGTATAAAGAACACCGGAAAAGTGTATTTAACTCAAACAAACAAACAAAGAAGTAAAGGAATGCCTAGTTCCAGCAAATTTAAAGAACTCTACAGCTTCCATGTTAACACGACTAACTTATGAACCTTTTAAAAAAAATTCTTAGCACGTTAATCTGTCAGTGTTCTGTCATGAATCCATTTATTTCCTAACTGAAAAGAGCGAAGACCATATACACCAACATGCTCACCAATTGGCCTCCACCTTTAAGTCACACACACAAAAACTAAGCACACGTCACTTTCAGAGACGTTTAGCTCTGGAGGAAAGGTAGGTTATTTTCATAGTAGAACTTGACAACAGCTTTTATACAACAAGCATAATATTGTCCCTGTAAAAGATGACATTCAAAGCATTTTCTAAAGATATGGAATTTACATATTTAAATAACTTGTGTTCAAAACACTGCAGCTAATGACTTTGTGGACAACATTTATTAACATAAGTACCTTGCTGCTGTTCTTCCTCTTCTTCACTAGACGAAGCCAAATAAGCTTGAAAATCCATGTCAAGAAGTTCCTCTTTTTTAAAAGTTCTGTTAAGTGACATAACTCGTTCATGATCTGTCTCATCCCATGTGATATCTACCTTAAAAATAAGAAAGCCACTTGTAGAAGCTGAAACGTTAAAATTAAACATTGTAACTCTCTCTTTTTTAGGGAAAAATATTTGATACCTTGCATTTAAGAAGCAACGTAAAGCTGTCACTCGTGTTCTCTACAACAATTAGGTAGAATAACCATTTACTAAAATAAACCTAATGACAACTTTTTGGAATTTGTTCTACAATGAGTTTCAAGGAGTTTTAACTCCATGAAAGAACAAAGAAGTCTCCTTATGCACTGAAAGGTTCTGTAACAGCAGGTCACACAACACAAAATGTCTGTAAGCCAGATTTCCTTTATGGCAGCAGATACTGGTGTTGAAACAGCCACCAACTCCTCTCCTTTCCTCTTCCAGCAGCAACTCCTCCCTGGAATCACGCATGCATTGCAATGGGGACAATGAAAGCATTTGCACAACTGCACCCTCAGCCGGAAGGTGAAACAGATCCGATTGAAAAATGATCCAGCAGAAATTACTTCTTTCTCAACTAATCACTTCTCCAATCCAGTTCCCTTCACAGCCAGATGGAAGTTTTGGCTGTCACATAAGACAGAGTAGGTATGAACAGCTACAAGGAGGGGAAGCAACTGTTTAAGTCTGGCAACACCACCAAAATGGCTCTTGTTGAGCTACATGCAAATACCCATTTTAGGCAAATCAGAAGATTTAACTGTGAATAACAAAGTAATTCCATGTGCGACTTGTAACAGAAGTATAATGAGGTCAAAATGTAGTATTTCATTTGTAACAAAGAAACCGGATCTCTTAAAATCCAAAACTCGAGCTTATTTATGGGGTTGCAACTTGTGGCTCTGTAACATGCTTACTTCTCTTAACACGTTTGATGTCTTTACTTTGAAATGGTGAAGGTAATCAGGAATCTTTTCCCCACTACATATATAATTTATAAGCCGACAATAAAACTAAACAAATTAGAAAAACATTACAAAAACACTGTAAAGATACCTTTGATGTTCCCATAGCAGCAGATGTGAAGTACTTTGGCTTATATACAGCTATGTTCACTTCTGAGGCTTCATCTTTTGGCTTATCATCAAATGTAACATTATCTGGAATGAATCTTAAAGGCAAATAAAACATGTTATTATTCAAATACACTGGGAAATTTCATAGTATAAACAATCTAAACTTTTAATGAGTACCCTACGTAAGCACAAAAGAATCTGTTGAAATAAAAAGCTGGTATGCCTGAAAAGGAAACAAAAGAAAGGGACAAGTACTCCACACATGTTAAGATTAACTGGCTTCTGCACACCTATTCCACAGGTTTTTCATGTATAACACCACCAATGTTGTGAAAGTAACTAAACAACTTTCACTCTGGTATTAGCAGGGTTGGAGTGGGTTTTTTAGTGTTTTAGTTTGTTTTAAGAATTACCTTTTCAGGAAGCTTAACATTAAAAATTCAAAACAAAAAAGTGAATAAAACGGAATTTAGAAACAAAAAAAATCTAAACTTGTTAGGAAAGCCTGGCACATCTTTAACAGTACAATTAGTTGGGAAAAAAGTAACAACAGAAGACTTTAGATTAAAAAAAACCTTTATAGACTACATGAGAAATTACTTGTGCTTTTTTTTTTTTAAATCATTGCAAATGTAGTATGATGAATACTATTCAACATTAAAATTTAACAAAGAAGATTAAGAAAAGCATTGGAGAATTTCAAACAGCTGTGTCTGTTGTAAAATGTTATCTTTCAATGTTTAAAAGCATGAAAAGTTACATGTTCATTTGGCAGAGATCATCTTCTCCAGAATGGTTCAAAGCAGATGAATTAAGCTTCTCTAGAAAATGATTCAAAACAAAAAAACTTGTATTTCATTGACTTGCAAGAGTGCCCGTAACACAGATCCCAGCAGACAAAGCCAGCTTCTGTCAAAACTTAGTATGATTTAGTAACTTCTCTTCTGCTCAGACTAGAAGGCTTTTTTGTAACAAAAGGAAATACTAACAATAAAGCACAACTGTAATTTAATATTCTTTCTTTCCAAACGTGACTTTTGAAATCTTAGAGCTTCCAGCTCATTCATAGGAGCTAGCATAGTAATCTGTTGCAGCTTCATGACAACAGCAGCAATATTCTTGCCCTGTGGTAAGCAATCCTGAAAAAGAACCACTTCTGGACCCTTGGGGAAAGAAGAAAAGAGAAAAGCAGCAGTATGTTGTTTTGTTTTCTAAATCCTACCACTTCATTATTTGCACCAAAAGGTTGAAGATGCAATGAGAACATTTTACCCGACTTCTCTGAGAATAATCTCTCTATGCAGAGATCCTCTCAAACTTTCCATATTCCAGTAAAAACGCTCAAAAAGAAAAAAAGAACCAAAGGGAAACCTAACAACTCGCTGTATGCCTAATTTATTTACATATCTCATTTTGGTGACAGAATAAAGACCATATAGTTTACTCCAAATTATTTTCAATTGGCTTTAATTCCCTCTCCCCTCCCCAACATGTTAAAGTCACCAACAGAGTTACCTTAGGTCTATAAAAGAACAGCTACTTTCAAATTCCAGTCCATCGCATTCCTCATAAATTTTATTGGCTGTTTCAGGAGAATCACATTCTACAACTGCATAGAAGTATTTCAGTCGCTTAAATTGATATTCCCGCAGTTTTTCCCTATAAAGCCTGCAAAATGGAAAACACCACAACCAAGTGAGCTGGCTTTAACAACCTTTCATTTGCAAAATATTTTCATTCAATTCATTAAAAATATGCACCATTCAAACACTCTACTAATCTTGTAAGACTAGAGGTTAAACAGCATGAAGTTTCACCAGTATCTATTCAGTTTTACTCAAGTAAAGACTAATTGACACAGTTTTATTAAGTGTACACTTTCTGCATCTGACTCTGCTTCCCACAGGCATTGTAAGGTTAGAGCAAGGCATAGAATAGCATATTTGTATGCCTCTGTGCAGCCCACAGAAAGTACTATTTACTAGTTCCTATCAAGTTATTTGCAATTATCCTGGCTCTTAACAAGGCCAATGAAAAGGATGTTCATATATAAGTGTGCATGTCAAGAACGTAAGAGAAACTGCGAGACTGTACGGACAGGATGGCAGATCCTCACGCTAGTGACAGGCAGTGCAGGAGTAGGAAAGCGGTATGGGTGAGGAAAGGAATCAGGATACTAACCCGGGTAGTAGACGTGGTGGGGGTGTCATAGAAGATGACAGCAAGAGAAAAAGAAAAGCAGAAAAGGGATTAAGAGGTGGATGAATCAGTGGAAGAATGCAGGAGCGAGATCGCAGGGCTGAGGTTCTGTCCCGTGAATCTGAAGGGTACATGCACAGGTTTCACTGAGGTACCTCTAGGACATCTGGATTTGTTTGTTGTATTCCAGATGCTCTAGAGCCCCCTGAGCAGTAATCTAATGCTTCAGGACGCACCTTGATGCACATAGTGAAGCTGACTTCATCATACACTTCCCTGATGCACTAGAGAGTTTCTTCAAAGGGATCTGCACTTATTTGAGAAGCACCCAGATTTTCCAAATATAGGGCAGTCCAGCAGGATGTATTATACAAAAGTGTCCCCAGTCTGGCTGCCAAACATCTGGAAATTCTGGAAAAATATAAAAGCAAAACCTCTGAAGTTCCATACAGACAAGACTTTCAAGCAGAACAAAAGGGTGGAAAAAAAAAAAAGTGACATGCCTGAAGGAGCCTGGGCAATGGCAGGACTGATGAGCTCAGCCTAGTAAGCCAAGGCTGCTGCTGGCGGCATTCAAGAAATCTCAATGTGGGAATTCTTGGCCTAAGTTAAGGTCCCTGTTGATTACGTAGATAAAAATGTTGACAGTAAGCAACAAAGGGAGTTTGCATGAATGGCAGTTTGTAGCAAAGAAATGCTACGTTAAGCTCTATGCATTGACAATGAACCAGGGCCAGTTATAAAATATCCCTCGAAAAAGCTGTAAAAAGGAAGGCATCCACAGGAGACTTCCACATACGAAGTTTTGGAAACAGCAGCCGATCAGGATTTTCACTGAGAATTAGACATATTGTATCTCTCAGCTGAAGATAAAGTTAATACCCATCATTCTCTGTGGTATCCTCTGGAAGATCGAACAGTTCCACAGGTCCTTTTTGTTCTTCCTCTTTCAATCTCTCTTTTCCAAACTCTGAAGGATAAATCTACAAATACACCACCACCAAAGTAATTTTTTAACTGTAGCACCACAATGTACATCAACTAAGAAAAAATATCTCACCATGTTTTTTCTCTAAAATCAGTAAAGGCATCAACTCCATAAGCTTTAATACCCCTTAATTTTAATTTACAGAAAAGACAGTAGAACAAACAAACTGCCTGTTACAAACGAGAATATTTTGGGACAGATGAAGAACAACAGGAACCCTGACTTCGTTCATTTCACTGTGGCCCTTTTCAGAAAGGGGTATTTGACTAACATTTCTCAGAAAACTGAAGGCAGACACTAAAACCGGAAAAATATAACTTAACTGATCAGAATTCAATCAATTTATTAGTAACTCAAAAGTGGTGAAAAACAAGAAGTGTTGTGCAATGTTAAATGGGGTTGGAAAGCATTTAGAAATAGCCAGATTTAAGGCTGGGTTATCTACCATACAGATAACTGAAAATTAAACTGGCCAAGGAAATGGATTTCCCCCCCTACTAGACTTTGAGAACTTCATTATTAGTCTCAGAAAAACAGCACGTGGAGCCAACCTTATGAACACGAGAAGTCAGCAACTTCAGGCTCTAACTCTACCAAATATATGCCTGCTGCTGCAGAGCAGCAGATGTTTATTTCTAACACAGCAAGTTAAACTGCAGCACAGTTTCTCATTTATCATGTTAATCTCTCTTTTGATTCTCCACAGGACTTTTGTTCTTATTTTGCAGGTTTTTTGGTTTTGTTTTTTATTTAGAAATCAGGTCTTACCTTAACAGAAAACACCGTTCCTCCTTTGGGCGTGAAAGAATTAAACAGAGCCATCAAATCCTTGGCCTTCAACCTATCCCAATCCATATTACAAACTGCCAATCTACTTGTAATCTGAACAGAGAGAAAAAAAAAAAAGGACAAAGTTCATCGGTTTAATTCCTGACTGCTATGGGGAATACACAATTCTCTAGCAGCTATCCTTGGTAAAAATCAAAGTCAGCAATAAATTGCTGAAAAAAATAAAAGAAGCATTTTCCTCAAGACTTTGTAACACTTAAACTAGCAAAAGTCAGAAGCAGCAACCACCAGAGCAAATAAAAAGGACATAAATAGCGAAACACCCCAGAAGGAACTGCATCAATCACAGATTTAGGACTGCAGTTACAACATCATCACTTAAGTTATGGTTAGTCACAATAGCAACCAGTACCACAGAATTATAACAGCACTAGAGCACTGTGATTTCTTAGACATTAATTGTCCTCAGTTTTAAATTCCTACTTCACTATCTAATGGTTTCTCAATTTCTTAAAGCACGAGTTAAAAAATTAAATTTAAAAAAGTGAAAAAAAATCAGTAGTGAACAAAAGCAGTACTATTTAAATTCTGGAATTTCTGAAAAGCTCAGTTCTGTTTGTTCTTTCATCTATAGAAAGTTTATCTATCTATAGGTAAGCCTCTGCTTAGAAGGAAGGGGGAACACCAGTGAAAATTGCAAGTCTCATTCTCAACCAATTTCATTGCCACTTGCATTCTGTAACTAAAAGGCTGAAATACCTCTGTGAAAAATACTTTCACAAACTGTTTCACAGATGAAGGTCTATAACAGTGCACGTTTCTGAGTTTGTCACGTAGCAACTTTTCACACACAAGATATTGTTACCTCATCTCCCCGAGGGGCATCTTTATCTAGCTCGCGCCATGAATGCTCTATCTCTGGCTCCTTTGGAAACAGGTCATTTAAATCCTCATCATCCTCTGAGCTCGTTTCAATGTTCCCTATGCCTCTAGCTAGATCAGGCCCACTATCACTTTCTTCGTCATCTTCTGAATCACTATCTTCTTCGCCCGTTTCCCCATCATCTTCTGGCTCCTCTTCTTCCGATTCTGCGGACTCAAAAGCATCACTTGCAGAAATTTCTTCCTCTAATTGGCTTTTACTAACGTCACTTTGATCACAGGTGTCTGTGCATACAGCCACTGAAAGAGAAACATTAGATACTATTTTTATGGTGGAATTACATATGATCCTTTACAAAGGAAAAAACTTCTGGTTTTCTTCATGCAGATGTACAGAATCCCTGAAATGTGGAATGGTGCAGGAACAAACTACAGCAGGGAAGGGTAACAACATAAATGATCAGTATCACCTCTTCAGGTTTCTAATCTAATTTAATCGCTCTTTAGGCTTACAATTGTGTTATCTATCTCAAACTCTAATGAAGTGTTACTCTGTTAGTCTATTTATATGTATAGAATCAACAAGTAGAAATTGGATTTAATAACGTAGGCCATACGTACACACAAAGAAAGCTTTTCTTCAAGGCACCTGTTCTCTCTAAAGCCCTCAAATATTAATGGCTTGATGCTGCCATCCTTACACTTTCAGTCAACAAGCGTGTATATATTGAAGCCTTCACGGGATCAGACTTTGTATTTGCTATCCAGTCTGATAAATACAGCAGTGAATACGCTACTAGACATTTTACTTTTCTAACTAACCAGGATGTTTACAGTCAGCATGGATTCTACACAGAGCTGACCAACTCCAATTCTTTAGCAATGCCAAACTGGAGTCAGTCAACTGTTTTATGACTGATCTTGCAAAAGATCTTCCATGGATAAAACAAAAGCAACAACATCCAAGCAAACATAGTCACATTCTATTTATTATTTGAACAACTAACCTGATTCTTTTGTTTTTCCTCCTACAGAATGGTCCCTCGTGGGAGCTTTAACCAATTTAGTACCACCTGGTTGTGAAGACTTTTGCTTGTTTTGAATAGAAATCGATTTCACTCCTGATGCATCTAGTTGCTGGTTTTCCCCTTTGTGTAAAAGGTCCTTGTTTCCCTGAAAGCGATCAATTTCTCTTGCAGTTTTCTTGGAGTCCTCTTTCAAGTTGAATTTAGATGTAATTTTTTGTCCTTCACTTTTAGGGCCATGTAGTTTTGTCACCACTTCACATGTTTGGCCCACTCCTCGTTTGTTTATTTTGCTGTCCTCCTGAGGGAGACCATCGGCAAGTAGTTTTGCAGAATCTGCTTCTCCTTTCGATTTAGCTTTTTTTTTCTTTATTTTCTTTTCAGTATGTTCTTCACTATCATTTTCTGAAAGATCAGAGTCAGATTCTGACAGGGCATAAAATTTCCTGAGGTTCTCCGTAGAAGTATAGTTAACAGGGCGACCTCTTTTATCCACTGTGTATTTCAACTTAAACTTCTTGTCATGAAACATAGCTCGGAATCGTTTGTCAATCTTGACTTTACGTTCTTTTTCGGGCATCTCCCAAAACCTGGGATCCCTCGTAACGCAGCTAAACCGCCCATCCTTCAGTATTTCCTCCTGGGATGACATTTTTGATGCTGTCGAAGACTTAGACGTCTACAATATGGAAAGAAAAAACAACTCGCTTCTGAATAAAAAAATTGATTAAGATAGACACATAATTGAAAAAAAAATTAAAGAATTAAGCCAAGTTAGATTTCTAACGTATACCTTAAAAGTTCTTTCCAAATGCACATATAAACAAGTCACAAATAATCCTCCAACTCCTGCAGTCTTTGCCACAAACCTTAGCTTCCTCAGATAATGGATACACAGCTAAAAAGACCTCAGCGGCTGCAGACACAGCCCTAAGTGACTCCCGGTCAATCCCGAACACGCCCTCAAGCAGTTTCATTGTAAGCCGGACCTCAGACTTCCACTTCCCAGAGGACCGGGGCATTTCACATTTTAAAGCGCCAGGTAGGAACGAAGCCGGCAAGAGCGCGGCCGTTTTGGCGAGCACCGGCCAGCGCCACCCGGCAGAGGCTCAGCGCGGCCCAGCGGCCCCACGGCAGCACCGGGGCCTTCCCCGAGGCGCCTGCTGCC